GTACAGTAATGGTTAATTCTTAGAGAGGTGAAATTAGTTACTAGTATTTACTTATTTTTGCAGAAATGTTGATCACTTTCAAAAGTATCATCTTTAAGAAGGAGCCGTCATTCCAGGATATACTGTATTTTGGATAGGAAGTCGAATGATATAATTTGAAGATTAATGAGTAGCATAATGATTAAAATGCTGTAGTGAATTAATAAAAACTGGATTAAGAGAGGAAGTCAGAAGGATCTTACCATAATAATTAAATATTTTTTTAATCTGATAGCTGCCATAAAATTAATTAGTTAAATATATTTTATCTGAAAAAGATCACAACACTAGCAAAAACGAGTCCTTCTTATTTCGCACATCATTAATCGCTTTGAAATTAAATGATATTCCACTTTGGAGTAAAGGATATAATGTTTCATGCTTGTACAAATGAAACTAGGTGGACGAAATGTAACGTTTGGATAATTTTTAAGATTTTTGAAACCCCCTTCCCTCCCTCCCTCCCCCCCCAAAAAAAAGAGCTATAGATAAGCGATCGAGACCATAGGGCTGAGACACGACAGCTCTGGAGTGCGTTGTTATAAAATGGCATTGTTTGCGCATGCTGTGTAATGATTTCTTGGTGTAGGAGTAGCTTTCGTAGTGCCACCATTTCCATAATTTAAACTTGGAATTACTGCATCAGTATATTTCACTAAGTATTATTTTACGTACTATAAGAACGCTTTCGAGATGTATCAATATATAGTACTAAAAGTTAAATTAACATTTATAAGAAGCACAAAAAATTCAAATTTCTTTCGCTCTACTGCCAGTCGTTAACAACATAGCTAAGGCAGTTACAAGAACAGGTGACAGGTGACGGAGGACGGGGACGCCTGATGTTTAACAGAGGCATATGTCCCGCGCTCTCCCCTATCTAGTGGCAGCAACTCCCAGGAGCCTCATGAGGCCACCTCGGGAGTTTATTGAAGAATTTTACGTAATTGTACATGGCCATACAGAGGCGTCTTAGGAATACATTAGTTTTGATCGATAGGCGGATGATTTGTTACATCTTGGTTTGTTAGACACTGTTAGACACTATTTACAGCATATACATACACATACAAGTACATACATTTGCACATATAAAGATACATACAAAACACTTGTAAAACACATATAAAAGCACATATATAATACATATAAAACATGTAAGCACATTATATAAAAATAGAAATTAGATACTGGTTTGCACACACTAAAGACTTACACTAAAGACACATTTAGATCACATATCACATGTAAAATGCGCATATAAACATACATAAAGCATGCAGGCACACTGTAGAATATTAAATTTTGTTATTAGATGATATAGTAATTACAGATGAAACTTTACTCTGGAGAATACATTATGCAATACATTATATCAGGTACACAATACTTATTTAATTTGAATAGATATGCAGCGCTTTTTATATACATAATGCTTACAGAATTGATACACAATGTAAAAACAGATACACTGTTTTTACTAGCCTAGTTACAAGAACAGTTGAAAGCCAGCTAGTCCTTCCCAACATACAGATGGGAACCCAAACTCCTACCGTTTCCACAAAAACCGACTGAACTCGAATGGCGCGCATTTTCAAAAGAGCTAAAATGAAAGATATGTAAAAATATACTTCGAAGTGTGACTGTATAAAATATTAAGGGACTAGCCTAGCCCTTCTAGTCCAGGGGTTCCTAACGAGGTTTTTGAAATTTTAAAGTGAGTCGATGGTGACCAAGAGGGCGATGGAGATTTATAGCCGAATATACACTGCTGGCAATTAAAATTGTAGCACCAGTAAGATGAACGTCTGAAGAACCAAGTAGACGAACGATCTAACGAACGTCAAAATCACATGAAAAGGAAGAAGTTGGGATATGCAAATGATTAGTATTTCAGCGCGTTTAGACGACGCAGGAGAGAGAAACGATACCTGAAGCACTGCATAAAAGAAAAGTATTGTAGTGGTTTTCGCATTCGGAAAGTGCTTTATAAGGTTGGAGTTTGCACAGAATATCTTGTTATGCCTCGAATCAGAAGAAGAGATGCTTACCAGAAAGTTTCGAAATTCGACAGAGGAAGAATTGTTGCCTTTTGTTGTAGATTATCGTTCCGTGATATCAGCAGACGCACTGGTCGACATCTATCCACTGTCATGCGAATATGAAATCAATGGATTGCTGAGGGTCATACTGAACGGCATGCAGGACCTTAACGCCTTCCCACGACTAATGATAGAGAGGACAGACATATTGTGAGGTCAGCCCTGCAAAACCGTAGACCACATCCTGAACCATTAGTCAGGAAATGGGCATGTTTGCAGCCCGCTCAGTATCAGCTCGTAAGGTGCGTCGACGTTTGCAGCATCTTGGACTATCAGCAGGTTGACCATTAATTCGGCTTTCCTTGACAATGCAGCATAGAGAGAGACGGCGACTCCGGTGCTTCAAAGAACAAAGCTGGATACAGGAGTGGCACAATGCCGCCTTTACAAACGAGTCCCGGTTTTACGTGCAGTATTCTGATGGCCGTATACGTGTCTGGAGTGTCCGATGAGGTCGCACGTCGCCTGCTTACATTTGATATCGGAATAGGGGCCCTGCCATTGGTGTTATGGTTTGGGCAGTCACTGGGTACACGACACTCACATCTCTAGTTCGGATCGACGGTAATTTGAACGCGGATGGGTACATTTCTGACATCTTACGTCCAGTGGTTGTGCCCTATCTTTGAGGCCCCCAAACGCCATGTTCCAACAAGATAATACATGACCGCATGTTACGTGTGGTGTTCTGTCCTTCCTGGATACACAGGGTATTCGCGCCCTGGCCTGCACGATCTCCAGATCTGTCACCCATTGAAAATATCTCGTTATGGGTTACTCAGAGACTGACCCGCCTAACCTCTCCAGCTAATACGGTTGATGAAGTGTGGCATAGACTTGAAGCAGCATAGAAAGAGTTGCCAATTTCTGTTATCCAAGCTCGTTTAACTCCATGCCTGATGGGGTAAGGGCAGTTTTAGGTGCCAGGGGTGGCAGCTGTTTCTACTAATTTCGTACCCCTGTAAACCTCCAATGCTTACAAATTTAATGATTTTGTTTTCATGCCATACTGTTAACCTGCAATAAATATCTTTTTTGTATTTTCTTTCCTTCATGGTGTTGCAATTATAATGGCCAGCAGTGTGCGTCCGCAACTGACCGGCACAATAAGATCTCATTGATTACAAAAATATTAATAAAATTAATGATTAATTTTTTAACTGATATGACGGTTTCCATCGGCTTCAATACAGAACTCATGAGATTCAATGAAATTTTAAAGGAGTCGAATGGTGATTGACAGCCGCTATTGATTGGCATAAGAGAGAAAAAATTATTACAAAAAATATTAATAAAATTGATAATTGTTTATCAATATAAAGTTGAATCATGCGGTATGAAACAAATTATAGAAAATAATAGTGATGCAAAAACACAGAAAACTTACTTCATGTATTTTAAAATAATTAATTTTTAAAACACATGCATTTTTTAAACTCTCAGTATAAAAAATGAAAACTCAGGAGTATACGAAGAAAACAGAATTAATGAACCACAGTAAAATCTGCTCCCATTCGTTTCTTCAAGCAAGCCATTGAAATTTGCTGACAGAAGTTATACTCAAATGGTAATTACGTCATCAATATATAAATGTGCCGTTTACATTTGACAAAACTACTACAAGCTAACTGCTGCTTCCCCCCACCGCTATGGGAGAAGAAACCATATTAACTTTATGTTAACTGTGACACTATTTAACACATCTAATGCGTAAACTGCTCAAGAAAAGCAAAGTGCGCATCAGAAAATTACCAGCGATCATATAACAGCGATATAATCAAATTCGTAGTATATTTCTAGCTGTAGGCTTTCTTGTAGGAATTTCCACACTATTTAAGACTAAGTATGTAGTAAGGTTATAATTGAGATGATACTTGAATTTGAGTCCTACAAAGCTACCAGATAACTAACGAGTTATCGCTACGTCTGAAAACAGTATGACAAAGACTCGTAAAGATTTAAAAAATTTTTCTATTAAACTGAAGTTTTAACATAAAATGCACGACTTGCACTGTTCTGTCAGTTTCGAAACGCCTGTTTGTTTCCAGAGCGACCGAACTCAGTCCCTTGGGCAGAATTTTGTTCTAAAAATCTAAGGGTGACTTTTTGCCTACTTTTAAAAAGTAGATGCAATGCAACATGCAAATGTTGCCAGCACACATCTTCCCTTTTCTTGTCGATCTCGATCAACACATCTTTCAGACAAACACGTTTATAGCTTTTAACAGGTCTAGATTTTAAAATATTTTGAAATATTAATAAAGCAAGAATAAAATGCGATTTTGTATCACACCACTGACCTAACGTAAGGCTAAAGGCAATAAAAAGGTAAGGACACTATTTAATTCATAGACATATTAATTCAAAAATCAAAAGTTCAGTATCGCGCTGACTAACATGAGGTTCATTTTTTTATAAGAGAGAAATTTTTTTGGGTTTGTTTTCCAAATGTAATCTCTTTTGGTTAATCAGTACTCAGATTTGCCATGTGCTAATTTAATTTGTCCTAGGAATTTCGCGGCTGAAAGTAAGCCTATAAAAATTTAAATCCTGCGAAATGAATCTTTGAGTGAAATAAACATACGAACCCTGATATTTCAGTAAGGATATCGCTTTCATTAATGCTTCATTGGTAAACTTCATTAAAAATTGTATCGAATAATTCAGATTTTGCATTCAAAATTATCACTTAAACAAGCTGTTTAGATGAAGGAACTGTATATGTATATATATCCGTATCGTGAAAATATCACGGCTGATTAAATTTTTCAATTCCATACTTTATTCCTTCAAACGAAACATAGGTGGCGCACATTAGAATTGCGTAATTCTTACTAACCTTTTGCCACAAATGAACCCGTACGCGTTTCGCACTTGTTGTTAGTAACGAAATCCCAGAACTTCTGTGAATCCAGACACTTGCTAGTGCGGTGCATCCGTGATCGCTACAGCAATGTTTCTCCAGTTCCTTTTTCTAATAGGTCTAGCAGGTAAAAATTTATAGAAATGTTAAAAGTGGTTATTGCAGTGTTTCTCAATCTTATGCCAATTTTGGGTCTGTTGTTCGAATGATATCACACTTATGTGATCCCGGTGATCTTGACATACAAAGATTATCATTACTTAATGTAATCTTACTTACCTTACTAATGTTATTATAATTGCTCCACTTATTAACTGTTCTTTTTATTATAAAAATTTATGTTTTTCAGGATTTTCTTTTGTAGTATGCAAATTATCTTAATGGAGGACTAATCTGTTACTTAATTTCATAATATGTTTTCATAATACGTCATACTTGTGCGAATCAGTATTTTCTAAAACGAAAAAAGCGAAGACTTCTACTAGAATCGTATACACAAAAATTTCGTACCAAACCGTGAGAAATTTCACAATATTATAGACGCAAAACAATGATAGAGAAACAGTGAAATTGTTCATATGAAATCCTTTGTAAAGTGTAAGTTTCAAACTCACAAAATTATTTATGAAAATAAATTTAATCTATAGATTATATATATAGTCATTTAGATTAATTTTAATTAATTAGGAAGATTTTTATTTCATTTATCTGATTACTCTATTATCAATATTTTTTCTGTAAAACTGATTTGTTACATTATATACAATTTGTTAATTAGAAACTAACGCATTTACGTAAAGCAACTGGCAGAGCATTAAACTAAACTTTAAAAATATAAATCACAAATTATTTATCTGTGTTAAGGAAGTTTTGCTAAATATTTTTCTAATTTATTATGAATGTATAATTGATTGAATATGATAAAGGAAGTAAACAATTGTTCAACTCCGATTTTAAAATTTCTAGAAAATACCATTTTCTAAGCACTTGTACTTAACACAGCGCTACATGAAACCTGCAGAGCAACTTCAATCAGTTGTCTGTCATCATTAATTAATTAATGTTTAATAAATTATTGGTCCTATCTCTTCAATACGTCTTGATTAATGCACTTGTCAGCCGTAACTCCTGACAGGAACAATTTATTTTCTACATGGAAAAAATAAAACTTGCTTCTAGTATTTTGTTACTACAAACGTTGCTGCGATTAATAACGACTTTATTCTGTTCCTCATTTTTCTGCCACTGTCAAATACTCAAATAGCTTCTGATGACTTGTTCGTTTCACTATAGCGGATAAAAATTATGTATTAAAGAAAGAAAGTATACAGAATTCTCAGAAGTATTGCAGCGAAAGCTAGCATACTCCATTTTTTATATGCAGTGACTTTAGAATTATTTACATTTAAAATGACATGATCAATAATTCAGTTGTAAGTCAGTAAATTTTGATAATTTATAAAAGCAGGATCAACTGAAATACCCCATTTGCAGCAATTAATTGATTTACGTGATGGAACAAGAGCAAAGGCATTTTCACAAATGTTAAAATCCTAAATTAATGTAAATATTGCACTTTTGCAGTGCAATAATGCACAGGGCTAGCATAAATGATTTATTAATTTTGAAAATGCTATATATTCAAAAGTATTATACGTACACACATGAAAAATATATGAAAGAACCACAAACTCATCAAGGGTTTTTTTGTTAATGAGAATTAAATTTTGAAACCCTTCTTTACTGACATCTAAGGCTAAATTATTTTAGCATAAAACTGTTTAGAAATAAACTTCATCTTATCTCAGCTCAAATAAAATTTCCAGGTTCTGCATTACAAGAATCATCTCTGCAGTGCAGCGGTGAAAAATGTTGCACTGTTTCAGTGGACGATTGTCTAATAGACCTCCAGACATTTTTGAAACTCACTGAACTACCTTTTACTTCCGAACATACAGAATTACATAAATTGTGCAGGTGAGTGTTCACCAAATTCTCTTATCATTTTTTTAGTCTATGCAGGGTGTATCAGTACAGCGGTGACAAACTTTCAGGAATGATAGAGTACACCTGTACGATGGGAAATCGTATATAGGAATGTATATAGGAATACAGATAGGAATATATCATTCACATATAGGAATAGTCGGAAACGCTTTCCTGGCGCGGTAGAGACGACACAAAAGTCAAGAAAGAAAGGACACGAACGGGTTGATAAAACATGTTTATTATTCGAAGTACAACGAAAACAAAGAACAAACAACATAAACAGACAACGATCATCATCAAAGAAGGTGTTCGAAATTACGAACCGGACCGTGATGCAGCAACCGTGCGTTTTTCATTTTCCATGCAATCTTCCATTCGTGATGCAGATCTTCCATGCGCCAGAGAAATGAGGCCTGCATCACGGTCCAGAGTCGTAATTTCAACACCTTCTTTAATGACGATCGTTGTTTGTTTTTGTTCTTATTTGTAGGTTTCTCCTGTACTAAGCATTACAAAATATGTTTTGTCTCACTATTTTTGTCCTTCCTTTTTCTCATTTTGTGTTCTCACTACCGCTCCAGGAAAGCGGATTTGGAATGGCTTAACTTTAGTTTTATTACTGAAAAAATGTCAAATATCAGTTAAGTATAAAGTTGCAAAAATAACTTTGCTTATTTTATGATTTTAAAATAATTAAATATTAATTATTTAAATAATTTTCATATACATATATGGATTTGCGCATATATAAAATGGTAAACAATTATTTAATATATATATTTTAAAGCAACTTTAGGAATTTTATGCGTTTTGATTCTTTTTAAAACATCGTAAGCCATTTTTAGCAACTAATTAAATTTGGCGGCTGTTTAAATTAATAAATTGCAAGTTACAAATTTGGCGAATAATTCTGCTAATTTTGACAACTCACCCCAGTGGTTTCTCTAATAACTGATTACCAAAATTATATTTTTTAAAATGCAAAGTAAAAAGCTTATGAAAAATGATAACTTTTAGAAAAGAAATATTTTAAATTTTAAGTCAGAAACAATTTGGTTATCTCAAATATGTATACCTTTCAAAAAATATACATCTGAATTAATTTATATAAAGCTCCATAGTAATTCTTGATAGCACCGTAATACACTCGTGCTAAAAATAAGCAATTAATGATAAAAGAAAAGGTGCGAATGTAAAAAGTGAAATTAAAACGTACAATTTACATATGACGACACTGTAGACGTTGCATCCCCGAATGCAAGTAGGCAACCAAAATTAGCATAAAACGCAATCTTGCAATCACACCACATCATCTTAAAAAGGGACATACCGGACCTATGCGACATTTTGCAAGCAGCGACAGTTCCATGTAATCCGAGATAGCCAAAGCAGAAAGCATGAGTCGGAGATACCGTTTGCATGATAAAATGCGTTGGAGGGTTCTCGGGATGTTGCAAGACATTCCACTGTTGCGAGACAGCTGAATGTTCATCGTAGGGTCATCAAGAGGCTGTGGCATCGTTACCGAAGGAATCAAAATGCCTGTAGAAGAGGTGAGTCTGGATACTGGAGGATTACATCGGCAGACGACAGCGTCTTGTTGCTATCTGCAATACGCGGTAGATCGTTAACATCACAACAGCTGGCGTCTCTCTGTTACTGCAGGACGGCTCATATCTTGCCAAAACTGTATCGCGTCGACTGCATGAAGTTGGCCTAAACGCTTCATAACCTATGGTTTGTCTTCCTTTGTCTCCGTCGTATGTCAGAGCGCAACTAAATTGTCCCTGTGAAAATCACAGTTGAATAACGGAGCAGTGGGGAAACGTACTCTTTACGGATGAGTCTCGATTTAACATCCATAACGATTGCCGAAGGACAGTGATATGGCGAGAGCCAAGGACACGCTATCAGGAAGCAAATATCATCGAAAGTTATCAGGATCTGTGTTCCTCCTTACTTGATTTGGGAACATTAAATGTCCTGACTCGGAACAGGGAGCTTACTAAAGCTATGTTCAGCAGAAATTCGTTTTAGTTTAAATCTTGTTTCTTCCTTTCCATGCCTTCCTTCTTTTTCCACTGGCCTTCAAATTTTTTTCCTGGCTTACTATGGAACTGTCGACGTTCGCCGGTTGTTTTTGGATACTCGGGTTTCCTTGCCCACTGATTCGCTTTGCTTCCGTAGCCGTGTTCTTGACTTTGCTGTGGTCTTTGCGCACCAAATTGGTTTCGTTGTTGATATTGGCGTCTTCTTTCAATGTCCGCCGTTCTTCTACTTTCAAACTGGATTGCTAGCTCAAATAACTTTTCCAGTGTAGTCGGATTTCTTAATTCAATAAAGTCTTGCACTTGGGGAAGTAACCTCGGCAAAATCACTTGAATTATCTCAGGATCCGGACGGTTTCCATACAAGAGTTTAAAGACGTGAATTTTTCTTAAAATAAAGGTGGAAAGATTTTCGATTCGTTGCTGATATATGCTGAAAAGTTCCGTTTCTAATCTTGCACAATCTCTTACGACAGGGAAGGCTTTTACTAAGGCGGTCTTAAAATTTTCGTAAGTATAGGTGGGACTTCCCGCTTGACCCAAGAGGCTTCTGCCTATACATTTGAACCAGTTAAGCTCTTGCCCCCTCAAAGCGCTGGTAGCTAAGGTGACTTTCTGGAACTCATGCACTGGATACAGCATGAAGTGGTCATCCAATTTTTCCAAAAAAACTGTGTTACCGGTTGAGTTTCCATTAAATGTTGCTTCTGGTTTCATCGATGCGCTCATGGTCTGGACGATGTAACCAAATCCTTCCAGGGCGGCAACGCTGGCATTTCTGGATTCTGAGCCGCTTCTGCAGGCAGCACAGGTTCTTCTTGAAACTCGGCCATGGTTATTCTTCTTCGTCGGGGCGCCACTATCAGGTTCTGTTTTCCTCCTTACTTGCTTTGGGAACATTAAATGTCCTGACTCGGAACAGGGAGCTTACTAAGCTATGTTCAATAAATTTGGGAAGTAGACAATACACACAAGGGAAGGGTATACGAAACCCTTTATTTTTTTCTCTCTTTACAATGATTTCCGGACTTCGGAATACAGAGACCAACCACTTGTGGTCTGAACGTAAGAATATAAAAATATTAACTAAACTCTAACTAACTTAACTTTGGATTAATCAAACAAGTGCCTACTCCCAAGATTGGCCGTATATTAGCAAAAAGCCGTATGTAGTACAGAGAACTGCTAACACTACGATACGTTTTAAATTATCAAGAGGATTAAACCTCTGGCCTTGAGGCAACCAGCAACCGAGTAAAACTACTATGGCAAGCGGCCTGTTTCTAATAGCTCCTTCCTTCTCTTCTTGCTTGGCAAAAAGCCAACACTAAGTACTTGGCGTTCGCAAGACAAATTTGCATAAATAAGTTAAAGCTTTTAATTCTGGCCGGAAGTAGAAAATAAGAAGCGATAGTAAAGATTTAAAATAAAATAAACGTTAGTAAAACTTAAGATCCTTACAAAGTGACCATTAAAGAGTATTAGGCTTACTTGTACGAGCTGGGATAGCAACGAACTGTAGGTCTGATTTTATACGAATCACCCTACATTAATTATTTTTTAATCTTAAAATTCCCATTACCATGTAACAATAAATCTGGTTCACCAAATCTCGTTGAGCAATCAGAGGACACAATTGGAATTTATTTCTTAGACCAGTATTAGAAGCGAGCTTCAATTATTTCCAGATATGCGAACTCGTCATGCCCGGTTCACTTGTTTTTCTTTTTTATAACTGCAGTTAAGTTTGTTTGTAATTTATGTAAGTGGTCTCAACGTTTCGGAGTTTTTATATGTTTGAGGTATTATTGTGATTAAGAAATGATGTTTGCAATGCTGTATGTCCCATGCCTCAATACAGTACATTTAAGGAAACAAATCTTGTATTTACATTTTCGAACATTACATGTATGTGAAATATTTACGTAGAAAACATCTTTTCTCTTTCAGCCAGGCAGCCCGTGGGTATAACTGCTCAGTAAATGCCATGGCATCAAACTGTGTCAAAGGAAAACTGAGAGATGAAATCTTGCCTTTATACTTAGGAATGGCACAGCATACTTTCATTATGTTGTGCGGGAATGGTTACGATACTTGTGGATATTTAGAAGGAGGTAATATGCCTTTATATCTATGTAACTCTATTTTTCAATATATTATATTTAACGGCTGTTTCTGATTTCATTCTTGTGCAGTTTGTATTACATGTTTAATAATGTTATTCAGTTCCTAATTCAGTATTTTTCGTGAAATGTTTATCAGCTGCTGAATTCGAATTTCAACTAAATGTCTAATTACAAAAATGCAGGGGCCGATAACTCCCTATCTTTATATTTATGCACTGTATGTGGCCAAACAGTAGTATTTAGATAAAATAAATACTTGTACCTCCAAGCGAAAGATGAACATCAGATTGCTGAAACGTTGCTTTAGAGAATTTAGCGCTTTGTGTTTGGCGTCTGTTTATTAAATTTAGTAAGGGTTATGTTATCTTTTGGGGAGAATATAGCCAGATCTTACCATTATTAATATTCTCCTTCCATACCTGTACGGTCAGAACATTCAAAGTATCAACTCAAATCTTAAAAAACATAGCAGAGTGGTGGATGAGTTTTCGCTCCATATGACTTCTAGCTACCAATAGTAAAGCCACGATAATCCCTAGAAAGAAAATATTTACTTAGACTTAATGTTTATACAAATTGAAAATTTAACAGGAACAAAAATTCGCAAGCTTGAGAGTAAACGAACATATTTTAGCAAACTTTCAAAATAAATCAAATGTAGAACCTGAAAATTACCTTAAGGACGGTCTCGATTGAGTTAAAAATCGGTCATTTTAGAGAAGGATTTTATAATTATAATTATCAATTTTATTTTATCTGAGAAATCAAACGACTAACGTATACCACAGTAACTTAAGGTTTATCATTATAGGGCTTCATATGAAGTGGAAATTCAAAACTTATTAATTGGTTACTTGAAATCGGCCGAACATTTGCATGTACCTAATATGTTATTGTGAGGTTGCAACTGACCAAAAAAACTGAATTTAAATCCTACATCCTACACATTTTAGCGAATTATCGCTCTATCTGAAATAGTACAACAAAGACTTTTAAATAACTTTTAAATAAATAAAATAAAAATAAAAAATAATAATATAATAATTTTAAATAAAAGACTTTTAAATAAATTTTATCTTCTACTTTTAACATAAAAGGCACGACTCGTATTACAGACAAGAACCACTACTCGTAATGATATAAATTAAAAAATAAGTGAAATAATTATAAACGTTGTTAAAGTAACCTAAAATTACACAGTTAAATAAACAAAGCTCAATATTGCTGGCTCAATATTTTAACGGCGCGTAAGTTTAAAGTATCGGCTACGAAAGAAAGCAGAGTCGAGATAATTACTTCTAGATAGAATTGATAAAATTCGCACAGCACTAAACGAATGTCCAAAGCTCCCTCTTTATAAGATTCAAAATCCTCAGCTTATAATTATGCTCTTTTCATTGTAGTGAGGAAAACAGAAACAAGCATTTTAGGTTTCTATTTAACTTATTCGTTTGTGTGTCTGTTATGGCATATTCACAACGTGAATGAAACTCATAAATAATAATGGAATGTGTAAAAAATTATTTTATTAATTGGAAAGCGAACCTTTTTCGCTTCCCACATACTGCTGTCAAAGCTACACACAAGGACACAATTAAGTGAATTTTTGTTCACCTCACCTTTCTGATTACAATTAAGTAGAAGGCGTGGCGTAAGCGGTAGCAAACGCTAATAGTATCCAAATAAAAACTTCTGTGTTTTTTGTTCTTTTCCTTAACGACACTTGCTTTACTATTTAGGTATTTTTTACGATGTTAAACATATCTTATAGAGAGAAAGTAATTATGACATTAATTATAAGATTTTGTTGATCTGTTTTTGTTTCCTAAAATCAAATATTTCAGGTTCCTAAAAAATGATGCATCCTAAGAAATCTTAAAACATTTTGGAAAATGTTTTATGATTTTATTAGTTTAATCTTATATTCTACTGAGCGCTTCTTGGGATAACCACTGACCTGACTTTGTAAATGTCTTTCAGTGTTAGTTATTCTGGCAGAAGGGATTATATCTTCCATATAAATATTACATGGACATAAAGTCTGTGTATAAGCATGGATATGTTAACTATGTTAACTACAAACATTATCGTGTATACAGTTACATAAGATACTTATATACATTCATGACAGTTATTTGCATATTTAAAATATTATCTGATTTCATATTTGTAAGACTATTACTGAGACAATTCTTAAATTCTACTAGCTTTTCTGCAACATTCAGGATGCGTCATGAAAAACAAGTTGGAGATCGAATGCTGTGCTCGAGAAACTGGGGTACCAGACTTGCCTGCTTTGAGAATTCTTGAGCAACCCGTTGAAAGTATGCTTGAAAACCAAGTATCCCCTTGCTGGTAAATTTTCTACTTTCTTTTCATCGCTTCTTCGTTTATGATTTCACATGGCATATGATAGCTTTATAAGTTATTAGCTTAAGCAAAGTTTTAGCATATTAATATAGTTATAATCATTGGTTTGTATTAATTTTAAGTAAGTGTTTAACTTATCACTAATGGTAAAAGTAACAAGAAGAAAGAGAATTTTGACCTTTTCCTATCGATATTTTGTTTCGAGAGTAATAGCAGCTACTTTTGGTGTCGTATTTTTTTAGATTATAGCATGCAGTTCCGTGTACAGATTCAGTATAATGATCTGGTTTAGAAATACTCCTGCTGGTAACTCCATATTTCAAATTACATGTCATTGTTGTTGCTCTGAATAATTAAAGAAATTATCTTTACACTTCTTTGCGTTTTTATGAATCAAAATGTCTAGAATTAATTATGTTAAACGTCAGATGTTCTAGTCCATATAATGTCCATATAATATCAGAAAAAGATTTTTATAAGGCTCTCCAAACACAAGGCTGATTAGAAATAACTTTCCCAATATACAGATATACACTGGATATGCAAACACCAACAAAATGAAAATATGTTTCTTGAAATGTACAGTGCAGTAACTTAATTTTCAATTTTTAACTTCAATAAATAAAAAAGAAATTTCTCAGAAATGCGTACAAAGGAGAACAGATTGTATGTTAAGTACTTACAGAATCTCTTGATCTTAAAGCAGGTTCAAGTTAAAAAGAGAAATTACAAGTCATTATAGTAGTGATATCTGACTTTTAAAATATATGTATTTTAAATTCCACAACTATAATGGCATTTGATAGCAGAGGGTCAAGGTTAAAGAATTTCTATTGAATTCTGTTAAACAAAAATAATTGTAGTATGATTTCAGTATTATTGTTTTATAAAGTCATTAGGATTTTTTTTAAGCAAGAGACATGAAAAGTGAGCAAAGCTCTCGCCGGACTCGAACCTGCACCTCTCGAATACGCACGGAGTGTGCTACCGTTACGCCACGAAGCATGCTCAAAGGAGGGAGAAGATATCTTATATAGTTCCCCTTTTAAAAGGCGACTGAGGATTAGGGGACCCAGTCGCCAAATCGTGGTGGTGAAGAATCATCATCCACCACCTTTTAGCTGGGGCACCACTTTTTTTGATGCAAGAGACGTGAGAAATGTGCAAAGTCCTCCCTGATATTCGAATTTGAACCTCTCGAATACGCGCCGAATGTGCTACCGTTACACCACGAAGGCACGCAGAAAGGAGGGAGAAAATACCTTGTAATTTTCAGCAACATCTTTAATGAACCGTTTTAATTTACTGATAAATATTAGAAGTCCATATTCGTTTAAAGGTTTTATTATTCTTTATATATCTTCGTAATTCCTAATTTTGCTAGCATAATTGTATTAATAAACGTTATGCGTACTTCAATATTGCCTTTAACAAAATTTAAAGTCTCTAAATAGGGTAAATCCATTATGCAGATTGCCGTTATCGATAGGCCATGCTCTGTAATGCGAACCAACTTAAACCGTGTTAAGTCAATTGTTACGATATATCTCTCGTGTCTGAGAGAACATTAGAACAAATCTCAAATTTTAACGGAGCGAGGATTCAGGATTGCGTCTGCCGTTGGCATAGGCCTTACAGGAGGGAGTACAACTTAGCTCAATTCCGTCCCTGTTTTAAAGGATAATCACTTGAGGATGTGTCAAAGGGTCTTTCGTACATCATCCACTACATCTAAGCCACTCAAGAAGACTTTCAGCTTGATTATTTTAAGTGTCTTCATGCCCCAAGACATCATATACCTACTAACATCTAAGCCTTTCTTAGATTCGAGCCTGAGCTCAATGACAGCGCGGCTAGCAACGTTAACAAGGCGGGGGATGTAAGTTTTAGAGATAGTTTCCAAATATAATTCATAGCACATACATCTATTTGTATAAATATATATAAGTTTTCATACATAATTCGCAGTACATATATGCATATATATATATATATATACTATATACATAAGATAATAAATATGTAAATCAGCTTTATAATTTAGTTTAATTAGCCTCTAAATTCCTCACTTTTAATTTGGGTATTTCTTCTCTGTATTTTAAAATTAGTAATAACGTTTCTGGACTACGCCATTTCTAGATTAATCTATGTCACATGGCTTATTTAACGCTAATGACGTAGCTAATTCGGAACCTGAAATCACAGTTTTAATTCGGAACCTAAACTCACAATTTTGAGAACTGAAACCTTTCTCACGTAAATCAAAACCTTAATGAGCTTCCATATTGAATAATTGCGCACTTTAGGTTCTACTTCTGTTGTTGCTAGGACGCTATTTTGCTGTTCTCTCTTTCTATCGCAACGGTATCAAAAATGTAAATATTTTGGAAATAGGCATGATTAGAGTGTCAAGTGAATTGTGGCCACAAATGTCATTTGAAGTAAAATGAATATTTAATCTTACTTGGCTGAAATGTTTCCCATTCATTACGAATTCAACATTTTAGCGTTCGACACAATCAGAATTCTTTCTCTTTAATATGCTTCTGCGTTCTGTGCTATTTACGTGCTGCGCCATCAATATTTCTGCATTTTTTCCGTTTTTATTGCATATATATGTAATATTTTGGCAGTCGGGCCCATCAATGAAGCTTGGCATCAAAATCCGGACATGACTGAGTGGCTTACAGCAGAAATGATGACATCGAAAGATTTCATTTTTTAAAACTCCATATCCTTTATTTATCTAAATTAGCAGATCATTATTCTTTTAGATTCTCCAAAACTACATATCTAATAATGATTTAAATAAAATAATGTTAAAGGTAAGTTTTCGACGTCATAACTATTCTAACAAAGGGAAGAAAAAGGGACAGAGCGGCAGCAAAAAGGTCTTAAGCCCCCCCCCCGGCAGGAGGAGAAAAGCAATTTGACGAAAAACTTACCTTTACCGTCACTCGCTTTTGGTTTCAACTACAGAGAGTTTCTACAAATAGATCATGTATGCCTTAGGCCTTTCAGACTTGCATTAAATGAAAGATGTACTATTGGTACATCTGTCACCCGGAGGCGGGGAAAGCATTTGAAAACTAAGGTTTGGAGTTGTCTGATCATGGGAAAGCAAACGTTTCCGTAGATCTTAAGTAGTAAAGCAAACAAAAAGGGGTCACATTCTGTCACTGCTAAGTAATAGTTCGGAGTTAATTAGCATTCATTATTGAGAGCACTTTGTTTCAAAATAGGAGAATATTTAAGTTTGCCTTCAAATAATACTGAGGAAAAATGGCGCGAACTCTCCATTTATATTAGCGATTACGTAACATGCCAGAATGTTCTCGAATTAGCGATTACGTAACATGCCAGAATGTTCTCGAAAATACTAGGTATAGGGGTAAGATCCTGAAATTGAGGAAAGTTAATTACAGGTTGCCTGTTCGCGTAGAGCAAAGCCATCGTATTTTTTAAGTTATATATATTATATATATATATATAACTTAAAAAAATCTGTGTGAAACCTCGAATTGGGCTAATTGACCATTTATTGCAAGTCTGTATATAATTTCTTTGTCTTTAAAATGTTTTTGATTGTTTGCGAACAAAATATGATGTTTTTTAGGTTTAAAGTTCTTCGACTTCGAGATGAAAATCATAAAAAAGAACATGTGTTTATGTGAAAGAACATTAAAAAAAGCCTCTCGAACTTTCAAAGAAGTTCTGTTGGACTTTTGAAATAAAATTATCGCAAATGTATCCACATTATGCAATTCATGTTGTTAATTATTGATTGCATTAGCATTTTAGCTCAAAATAATCTATATTCATATATTAAAATTAATTCTTTAATTTACTATTTTCATTTAGGGATTTTAAATGAATAGACATATTTTTATGTGTGCGAAGAAAATGCTTAAAAGTATTTTTATTGGGAGCTTTGTGGAGGAAATAATGAAACAAACTTTTGTTTTTAAATATTTTATTTACTGATATCATTTCATTCTTCCAGCTCTGTGTCTCGTTACATGAAGTGTGCAACTCAAGTAGTTAATCTCAACTGTGGTCAAGCAGCGGCCAATTTCACCACTGAATATTTAAAACGAGCTTCAGGAGAACAGCTTCAAACACTGTGCCACAGGATGCTTGAATATCCAGGCACTGAAAGCAAAATGTGTCCTGTTTCTGTTCCATTGTGTTCCGGATCTTGGACAAATTTAATTTTACCAAGTTATATATACGTTCTATTTTTAATGTTCAATATCATTTATAAATAGTACTAAAGTTTACGGACTTGTATTGATATGTATATTATTTCTTTTAAAATAAATTTGTAATTAATTTGAAAGGAAAATTTTAAATGTTCAATAAAGATTCTCGAAAATGTATGTAGCTCTGGTTAATCTGAGGGAAAAAGTATGTTAAGTATTCCTCAAGCTCATTTTATGTACTTAGAGGTCTGTAGCTACAACTGATTCTCAAGATATAAATTCTTAGATATTTTACTGTTGATTTACAAAAATGTTTAATAATTTTCCATTTCCTTTGAAGTCACCTGAGCGATACGACATATATTTGCACGAAACCATATTATCAGGATTCGTGCACATTTCATTCCATGTATCATAAAATGCAATTCTTCATCATCTAAATTGTATATTTAAACTGGCATTAAATTCTTTATTTGAAGATAGATTAGGCATTAAAACTTAAAAAACATTACAAAATGCTGCCAGTCCCGTCTTTGTATTTCTATAGATTTAACTTAAATCTATTTTTTAATGTATAAATTTATTTATCTGCAGATGTCTTTCAACTTTGTTTTATCTTTACTTTTTAACAGCAAATTAATATACAGCTAAATACGACTAATTTTTCAGGCATAAACAGACTTTCAGAGCAAACTCTGAATCGGACTTTTCCACATCAAATAATGTTAGCTTTCAAGAGTATATTTTTATTTTTAATTTTATGCTCTGATTGCAATAAAATTTCGCCATCTCTAATTTTAAAACATTTTTCAGTTTATAAAGAGTGAAAAACGTGATATCAAAAATAAAAAAAAAACTTACAACTAAATCAACCCAGGAAAAGGAAAATTTTTGCAGATTCTAAAGAGCGTTGAATCGTACGAAAAGTGAAGAAAAACTTAAAACTGAAAATTTATGGGCAGATTTGGAAGCAAACGTAAACATCATTCCATATTCATTTCAAAATATTTAGGAAAGGCATGAAAAGAAGAATGAAAAATCTATACTATTAAAATATGTGCACGTCTGTTTGTTATTTGTTTGTGGCAACATCTCCGGAACGGCGGGGAGTTTAATTTTGAGAGATGCACCCCCTCTGGATTCCAAACATTCGTTGAAAGCCATTTCGACCATTCTCATATTTGTACGACTTTAATCAGCCGAGATATTAATTAAAAACTCTAAAAGCGCAAATTTCCGCTCTCATTTTTTCCGAGTGTCAACAGTCTCGAGAGTCGCTGATTATAAAAATTCTTTATTTCGAAAAGTATTACGACTTCTCCCTTTGAAATCGCAGAGTTTGTTAGTAAAACATTTGTAAGTTTTACAAAATAAGAAATAAAAATAGCATTAAATATGTTATTATTATGTAATATCATATTCTGACGTTGAAGGAAGCACGTGATTGCATGAGACATCATTGTAGGTCTAAACGTTTTCGTTAATGTTCAGCATTTTAAATAAATAGCTACTGTTGGCAAATTTTTTTGTTTCAGGTTACGATAACTGATACGGTATAATATTGCTCCTTAATTCTTTTATTGGTATTGAGAAAAAGTTGCTGTATTACATTAAATTTAAATCACGACGTCATACACATTAACCAGAATTGTCGAACACTTTTGTTTCCTGGATTGTCAGTATAAAATTCTTTGCGAATTGGTTGTTGCTTGGAAAGAATGAACTGATTGATTTTATCCATACTAAAATATTTTTATGCATTTTCTTTTCAGATGTATATAGAACTTACAAATTTTGCTTTGGCCGCAGCCCGCTCCTCTGGCGGGTTTGCCGCTAGTTCCTTTCAATTTCTGCGAAAATTTATACTTTTCAATGCCGTACATATTAAAGGCTGTCGTAGTAAATAAAAGTATAGAACAACCAAGCACTCAATTTCATTTAAATTTTCGAATTAACTACAACAATAAATGTCCGAATCTCATATTGAGATTAATATTCATTATTATTTGTTGAACTTTTGTTTCTTGAAATTAAATTAAAAATGATTTTGCTTTATAGTTTTTTTTAAATTTATATGTGGTTAAAAAGAGTAAATAGAAGCAATTTGTATTTCAAGTTCTTTTTGCGTTATTACAAATAATTTCATAAAGTGTAAAAAGGTAATTGCCTAAGTTTTACTTTAAATGGGAATCATTTTTCGATTAATTATTTTATCTTTAAGATCAGGGTTTCCCAAAGGGGCTGGTATAAACCACCTGGGTATCGCTGAAATTTTAAGGGGTAAATGATGATCAAGAGGTCTGCTGGATGCCGATAGCCAAACGTGCGCCGGCAATTAATCACTATAATGAAGATCCTATTCATTACAAAATTACGTCTCAGTAAACTGATAATTAATTTTTTATTGATATAAAGCCATGTGATACAAAGACTTATTCAAAATATATAGGTGCGTTAAGCTTTGGAACATCAAAGAGTAATCTGTTGGAAATATCTCAAATTAAAGGTTGTTACGGATCACCATTATTGACTTTTCTATTGTAGACCTGCTTTCTTACCCAGCCATTAGTCAACTCCATAACTGTCAGGATGAATATTTATGTCACTTAAGAATTCGAAGTCGTTTAATTAAGCTAAACAGTTTTATACCAAATATTAATAAAATTGCATCAGTACGTCAAGTACAGCCATTACATTGATTTAAAACGAACTCTTATGCAATTGGAAACTCTGATTTTGTTTTCAGGAAACTTGTTTACTTTAAATGGGTTATTATTATTTGTAAAATTAAAAAATATGTAAACTTATAAATTATTATTCTAATAAAAATTTTTCAAATTTTTGTAACATATTCTTAGTTGAACTGTTACCTTTAAGTTGTTTATACGCAATTATTTATGTTGCGATTATGTTCTGTGTCGTATATTAAAAAGCCATTGTTTTCAAGGTGTCGACGCAAGAAAACTTTTGAAAACCCCTGTTCTAGATTTATAAGAATAACTGGTAGATTAGAAAACTACTGATTATTCAAATTTTTATATAAATATATTTCCGTCTGAGAGGTCTGTGATCAAACATTAAGGCCAACCGCGAGTGTTTCAGTATATTCCATCAGTTTTCGAATTATTTTTTCAAAAAGCTACATCATTATATAGCAATTACTTAAAAAACTCTGCTTCTAAAATTTAGTCCTTAGTTTAAATACAAAAGAAGTTAGATAAATACAAATTACATAATTGTTCTGGCATAAAGAACAAAAACAAGAGTCATAAATACACTATTTATACGTTAGGAGAAAGTGAAAAATGACGGCTGATCTGGGAATGACGTTTGAGGGCTATTTCTGTTTGAGGCTAAATTTGGGATAAATGTGCCAGGTTTGAGTAAGGAAGACACTGAAATGCAACATCGTCTTGCTGTATATTCAGTTGCAAATGGCAAATTAGTATTTTATTATAATTTCCATTCAGCAGAGTAAGAAAAAGTAAGAAAAAATATGAATTTCTAGTGATAAATAAATTAGAGACTATGATTATTGATGAAATTCAATATCAGTCATTATTTATGTTCTCGAAATGCAGTCCACTTTTGCAGATGGTCACCATGAGAAGTTCATTTATATAATTTCGAGTAGCTAGGTAATTATTCTCAGGTAAAATATTTCTTAAGAGCTTAAACTTTCCTTCACATGCTTTCAATCCCACAGCAGGTTTCAAATATGATTCAATTAAAATTTTTTTAGTGATTTAATGTCACTGTTCATGTTCCATGGGCACAAACGCAGTTTGAATAACAATAGATTTCATAGGCATTTATTTTGAGGACCTAACATAACATTCTCCCTAAAACGTACACACAGAAGGCGCAATTATTTTGTTTTGGATTATAATTCTGATCTCGCAAAACTTTCTGATTGGCTCTATGGAGAAGCAGTGAGAATATCGCTGACAACTACATTTATGAAATCCGTAAATATCGTATATAATATCCATAAATATCTGTAACTTTTCTAGGACATCTCCAGAACATTTTCTATTATTCCAAGATATTTTCAAGGATTAATCTTGAGAGCATTTTATTTTTCAAATAAGACATTGTTTTTTTATTCCCATGTATTAAATTTACTAAAATGCCATCCAATCTTTCTCCTATATCTAAATTCAGCATACAATATTTTTCCTCTTGGTTATTATTGCCTGAACCGGAAGCAAGGTTATCTAAAAATAGTTTGAAATATTAACGCTGGATTCAGTAATCGGTCGTTAATATTGCGTAGGAGATGAATTTTTCGTTCTAAATTCTGAATTTTTCATCCAAAGGAAAACCTCATTTCCCAGCAGTACATCTTTTTCTTTGAGATTTCAAACTACAGATAAGCTACTTGAATCTCAGCTGTACAGGTAGTGAATACATACTTAATCTCTTAACCATGTCATTACGTTCCATTACATTTATAGTTAACCATGTCATTACGCTCAATATTACATATATCAAATCTTTATAGAAATCTATATATATATAATCGACATTTTATATTCATAATGCTGTCATTTATTCCACGCACTGACGCGCAAGGTAATATTCTTTTTTAGATTTAGCAACTAAACTTCAGCAGACATCTGTAAAGCATTTTTCAATATTTTTCCCGGATAGTTAAAATAAGGGCTTCTCCAGCATTCATGCTATATAATACATTATGAATTATGCATACTGTAATAAAATTAAATAAAGAAATATTAGAGTATTATTTCTTTATTTCATTTTATTTACTTTTTTCCAAATTTCATTATTTATATTTATTTCTACGAAGTTCGCTTCCGAAACGATGTCACGAGGTCCAAATAATGATAGCCTTAAAGCGTATCTTATTTGATTCATAACGTAAATCATTGGTCTACTGTCAAGACAGTCATGAATAATTGGTTTTCAGTATTAATAAAATACTATGCGTATATGAAGATGCGGTAATTAGATCATTAGGCGACGAAGATGAGATAAATGTTTTTTCAATGGTTGCATTTTTTCTTTGCGAAATTGGTCCTTTGTAGAGAATTTTTAAAGATATTATTATGATCCTTTTTTACGTAGAGTCAAATCCCGATTAACCGGGTTAAGGATTAATCGTAACCGTCTCTTTAAAAAGGTTAAGTTTGTATTTTGCGCAGCGATGAATAAAT